TTGTTAATTTCTTTCAAATTCGGACAAAACTATCTTATTTGAATGTTCATGCCAAAATTGTTATTTACGTCAAAGTTCAGCACAAAATAGGATATTATCCCTAAATAATATAGGAGTACTAAAAATATTTGACTAATGAAGTTCAAAATGTTTCAAACAACATACAACCCTGATAAAACTGCAGTCCAACCAACTAACATTTAGAATAAATGACTTTCCGGCAGGATAACACAACTATAAGTATGGGTGGTTCTATCATATTTTGAGTAAGAAAATGACATAAGGAAATGATATATAGACCTTGAATGATATACTCTGAGTATGAAAATGATGTCTAGTGGCCGGAGCTAGGGACATGGTACTATACCTTAAGCCCTTACAGATTAAAATCTAGGTCTTAATTCTATGAAGCTCATATACTAAGATCAATTTTATTAGAAACAATAATCGAAGGTCGTGTTTCATCAAAATACATCCAAAAAATTATGTGCATAATCTTAGTGTTTAGGGCAAGGATTGAAAACCCTTGACGTACCGGGGGTTCGACTAAACCATTAGGCACTATGTAGTGTTGTGAAACGACTGAATCACGGTTAACCACAGTTTTCGCATAAAATACCCTCCTGCCGACTTTTTCGGTACAACCTCTGATGAGGTTTTATAATCCTTGGTTTAGGGTCTATGATTTAAATAGTTAAGACCTAGAGTTCACTCGTCAAGGGTTAGAATATAGTGTCTCGTCTTGAAATCAGGTTAATTCAAAGTCTAGATTGCCATTTCTTACCAAGGGTATGAGTTACCTTTTGATTCTACTCAAAATATGATAGAAAACACTACACACACATACTGGTATACTCCAGGAGTATAGTATATTGGTATACTCCAAGAGTATAGTATACTCCACATGATCTAGACATTAGATGTACTTTGTTGAGCTCCAATCAATCTCAATGGTCAATTATAATTTTCCATTAAATTGAACTTTGGGTTTGAGTTTAGAGAATCGGGGCCTGGGGTTTATCCATTAGAGGTTAGGGTAGAGTATCATACCCCAAACTCGATTAAAAATCATGGTCTAGATAGAGATATCTCACGAAGAGTACACGAAGTATAGTATACTCCAGGAGTACACCAGTCTGACCCATATATATATGTGGTTGTGTGTGCACATATATATTTAATATTGTAATTTGATATGCAATATTCGAATAAATGATATTTGGATTGCGGTTTTAAGATTATCCTCCATTTGTAAGATAGACTACCATTATTATTGAAGTCAAAATAAAATAATAATAATAAATGATAATCAAAGATCCAACACTAAAAATGCTTAAGAAAGACTTAGTGGGGTAGCTAACTGTGCTGGAAAAGTCATTTGATTTTCAGAATTTTGCCTCTTGTATGTTCTTTTTATAAATAAATGCAACAAATTTGTTTAGTCTTATTGGTTATGACTCTTGTCCTTGTTAGAAGAGACTCGGGTTCAAATCTTGACACTGATATTTTTTTCAAATAAAAAATAAACAATTGCAATGACGAAAGTGCCCTTCCTACTTTCACTCTCGTTGCAGAAAATTTGAAATGGAAGAAAGTTGAGTCATGAATCTCCATCATATATCTTATAGATTACGAAGTAGGATATATATATAATATATATGTGCTTCTTGAGGTTTCAAGTTGAATTACAAAATTCCCCATCTAATTGGTTTCAATTTAGAATTTTCACCGCATTGCCAAGAAAATTTTCTGATTGATCACTTTCTACTGACCTACAAGCTTTATAATTTACTTCTTAAATCTTGTATATTGGTTTTAACTATTTTATTTCTCTGCTTTCATATTATTTATTTATTCTCTTCCCACTTTCAGGACCCTGTTGGACGTTGGTTATGAATCTGCAGGCCCATTGAATTTCCGAACTCGGGTGAGGATTGGGCTAGATTTGGACCTGCTGGAAGAAAAAAAAGTGACAGCCACACAGTAAATTAGGTCAAGAGTTTAGAGCTATCTGCTAGGTTCACAAATCACAAACTCTTTCTTAGCAAATTTGCTGCCCAATAGAAAGTAATCAGAAAAAAAAAACCCACCACAGTTAAAAATTTGAGCTGTTAAAAAACTTTGAAAGATTTGTGCACTAATATCCAATAAGCCGGTCGCTAATCAAAAATCAAAACAACAGGCTGTATCAGATAAGCTTTTAAGCTCTTTTGTGCATTCGAATTCTCAAATTGATATGTGCAAAAATATGGCCGATGTGCCCAAACCCTCATTAGTATGTAACCAACGAGGTGTCGCACGCGGATGGAAGTCTTTTGCACAAACATGAATGATAATATACAAACGTTTTCAAAACATACATAACTATAATAAACGAAAAACAAATCGCAAACACCACCGATAAAAGAACTGCAACTTGCACACCAAAACAAGTGGGAAAATATCTTTCAATATGAATAAATACCAAGTATATAATATAATGCGAGCTGCAAGTGACTGGTTGGCAATGGCTGCCTCCACGCCTGCAAATATGTTTTCCCGCTGCTCATGAATAAATGGGTTCAGTTAGAGGGAAAAGTAAGAAGTAAAAACTAATCGCTAGAAGTAAAAAAAAGAAGGTAAAGAACAGCGCAAGTTGTAGGTTTATTTACTGGTCGATGGGGCTAATGTCGAAACCAAAAATATATAACCCGCGAATTTGGCCGTCGAGGCCAGCCCTAGCAGATTCCTAATCCAGAAGCGCCACGGCCACCGTTACTTCCTCCTCAAGTTTTGTTCCGTATCTAGTTGAAATAATTAAACCCAAAATAATTTCCTAACTAGTGTTATTATTATACTTATTATTAGTCATTCAAATTTAATATATATTTATAATATAGGTGCCTTCTACTTCTACGGTACCCCTGGTGAAATTCGGGGTATCGCATAACTTGAGTATGAAAACGCTATTTAGACATCGATTTAGCTGAATTTTTGGGCATGATACTATACCCTAACCTTTAATGAGTGAACCCTAGGTCCTAATTATCTAAATCATAAACTATAAACCTTAAGATGGTGCATTGATTTTTTTTTTTGCCTATATTTGGACGAATCATAACCGTCGATTATTGTTTCTAATTAAATTGATCTTGGGGTATAAAATTTAGAGAATTAAGACCTAGATTTTGATCTTTAAGGGTTAGAGTATAGTATAATGTCTGAAAGACCAGTCAATTCAAGTTCTGAATAGCGTTTTTTTAACTCAAGGTATGTGGTACCCCGGATTTCACCCTGGGTACCGTAGAACTTCCCTTATAATATAAAATATATAGACAATATGATGATTTTTTTTCATATATTCGAGCTAAAAAGATAGAATCATTAATTATCAACCCACTTGCTCAACTGGACTAACGAGTTAAACTGGCTCGACACCCTTACTTCGTTGCTTTAATCCAAATTAAAAAAATATTGCAAAAAGGGAACGAGGTCAATGTGATCTACGAAATAATATCCATTTTTGTTATATTCGAGAGGAAAATTTTATTACCACTCATTACCATCCACTTCCACTTTGTATCACCTTCATTATTGTAACTCAAACTTTGAAATTTTCGCACGGAATCAACGTGTTCGTCGTGATCTATTATGATTTATAAATTTTTGAAAACAATGTATGAACAAATATATTACGCTTATATAAGGTGGTAACTAGTGACAGGTGGTGGCAAAAGGGTAAATGATGGTTATCATATGTTACGTAGATGTGCTGTAGGGGCGGAATTCTACGTACTGGATCTTTGCTTCTCCGGACTTTTGGATACGTTGCTCGACGCTCTCGAGTAGAGGCTCTCCTTAATGGCGAGAACAACCCCAAAATAACTAAGAAACTACTAAACTGAACGAAAGAAATAATCAAAGCAAACAAACATAAATTGGGTTCCAATCTTCTCGTACTATTATTCATAGACAATGTCTCTATTTATAGAGTTACACAACCGAATCTCTTTCCTTCTCACCCAAGACTTTAGTCTCTCTCTCCTTATCCTTTTCCTACTAGAATTCCTTTTCTTCCCTTACAAGAAACATTAATCAAATACTAAACAAGAACTAACACATCTCCTAATCCAACTAGAACAGCTACTAATAATAATTAATACTAATATTCCCAAATAATGACTTAATACGAACTAATAAGCAAAGATACGCAAGCCCGGTAATAATGAAATGTCACGATGGCTCGATCTGGTAACATCATATTCCTATTATCATGTATTCAGCTGTTCAACACTATGATAAATTCATACCATCATGGTACACTTTTATATCTGGTAAATGTCACATTTGGTCATTGAGATTACTAAATCGTGTCATGTTTAGTCACTAGAAAAATTTAGTATCATTTTTGGTCACTCGAATTACTGAAACAGGTCACATTTAGTCACTCTCTCGTTAGCCTCCGTTCAACTCCGGTCACTCGAATTACTGAAACATGTCACATTTAGTCACTCGAATTATCGAAACATGTCACATTCAGTGCACTCGTCTTATAACCGTCATTTTAAACATGCAAATCATGTAAAGCTAATGTCAATCATCACTTATGATGTGATGAACAATAAAGCACATGAAATTCGCACAAAAACCATTCAAGATTTACTTTAATTTGAAGGATTTAGAGTTTAGAGATTTAGGGTTAGGTTAGGGTTTACAATTTGGGATATAGGGATATAATTCAAAATTGTAGGTCTAGGGCTTAGGGTAATACATTAATTAGTTGGGTTCCTATGTTATATCATCATATTACACTAATTATACAAATTAAAATTCAACGTGCGACACCTTAAAACTAGTTTTAGAGTTGAGTACATTGAACGTACTATTTTTTTTAGTGTACCAAAATAGTCACCACATATATATATTTCCGAGTCATACTTTTAATTTTGGTTTAAATCATGCATCATAAAAAAGAAAGTCTTATTATACAAGAAATATTAAGTCGTTTTAATAACCGGGGATATTACGTCGTTTCGTTTTCCTACGCGGAAGCGGGAAAATCTCCATTGTGCTAGGCTTCTAGAAAGTACTAATCCTTTTCCGTTCTGCACTCTTGCAGCCTTCCCGTTTCCTTTCCCGATGGGGCCAATGAAAACCCTGCCTCTTCAATTCTTTTCTATATAAACAGCCCACGCCCTGCCAAAAGCCGATTCACAAACCCCAATCGACTCTGCAAATCTCTCGCGGTAAAGAACCCACACAGCGAAGAGAGAAATCAATCAACGGAGAGAAATCAATCGCCACAATGTCGACGGAGGCGGCCGCGGCGGAGAAGAAGGTCATCACCCTGAAGAGCAGCGACGGCGAGTCGTTCGAAGTGGAGGAGGCGGTGGCGATGATGTCCCAGACGATCAAGCACATGATCGAGGACGACTGCGCCGACAACGGCATCCCTCTCCCCAACGTCACCGGCGGGATCCTCGCCAAGGTCATCGAGTACTGCAAGAAGCACCACGACGCTCCCAAACCGGACGGATACGGCGCCGCGGCGGCGGACGACGGGCTGAAGAGCTGGGACGAGGATTTCGTGAAGGTCGATCAGAACACCCTGTTCGACCTGATTCTGGCTGCGAACTACCTGAACATCAAGGATCTGCTGGATCTGACCTGCCAGACTGTGGCGAACATGATGAAGGGGAAGACGCCGGAGGAGATCAGGGCGATTTTCAACATCAAGAATGACTATACACCGGAGGAGGAAGAGGAGGTGCGCAGGGAGAATCAGTGGGCGTTTGAGTGAAAGCTTTCCTATTTTGTGGTAGTGGTGATAGTATAATAGCAGTATTAGTATGTTTTGGGTTGGAGAATTCTAGGTTAACTTTTTGAGGTTTGTCTGATGAATTAGAATTTTGATTTGCTGAATGGTTTTTGTGCAATGATTAGTAATATGTGGTATGGCAATATGTTCAATGTTTTGGTGTGGATGATAATATTTGAGTATGTAGGACTTCAAACCGACGCGATCAGCGGATTTCTTTCGACGCTGTGGTGAACCGATGTTTCGAATTAGCATTCATATGACTGTGGCCTACACTTGGTGTCGCTTTTGACTGCATTGTTCGCGATATCTTTTGGCATAGTTTTGATCGAAATGAACTACCCATTAACCTCTGAAATTGGATGAATCCATCCACCAAGCAGGAAAGAAAAACAACAGAATGAGCAGTGGGTTGTGTATGTTAACGCTAAAAAGACATTCAACCTTTAGTAACTCAAATGGAAAAAAACCTAACCCAGATCGCAAGTCCAACTGATCTCCCATACCCTTTATTTGTTTAAGCAAATCTCCTGCAATTGGCATTCAAGATCATGCAGAGAGCTTAGCCTTCAACTCAGCAGCAACAGCATCGATGAACTCCTCCGTGTTAAGGTAGGTGTCCCTGCTCAACCTACATACACAAAATCCACGAGGATCAAAAGTGTTATTTTAGCGAAGCAAGCATCGAGCCTACAAGACGAACAAAACTCAAACTGCTGCTGGTGTTGGTGTACTCACTTGGATCCATGAATGATCAGTGCAAGATCTTTGGTCATCTTGCCCGACTCTACTGCGCCGATGCATGCTGCCTCCAGCTTCTGGGTGAAATCCAAGAGTTGAGCATTGTCGTCCAACTTTGCCCTGACAAAGCCACAAACGTTTGATTATGTCAGTTAGATCTTTTTAACTGAGAGCTACTTAACTTCTTCCAGCAGCAAATTCCTTGTGTTAGAAACCGAATTATCTAGGGTTTCTATATTTATTATTTTAATTATTATAAGGGTAAGTCTTATTAAGGTTAGTAGTTATTTAGTAGGATTAGGTTTATTATTAGGGTTTTCTAGTGTTCCCTATAAATATGTACTTTGAGTCTACGTTACGATCAGTCAATAAAGAATTATCAAAGAATTCCCTAAACCCTAATCTCCTTATCTTCCCAATTCTCGATCTCAATCCCTCTAAAGGCCTAGGTCGATTCCCTTCTGTTCTTCCCCAATTCTTTCCCAAATCCCTAATTCTATCTTCTCAATCCCTAAATTCTCAAATATCACCCAATTCAAATCCCGTTAGAAACTTTGTTTCTAACATCTGGTATCAGAGCCCGGTTCCGATCGGTGAGTTCTTCTCAACTCCGTCAGGGACAGCTTAGAAACCGGAGAATCGACGATGGAAAAATCAGAGCAGCCATGGGCCCAGTTGCAAGAAGAGTTATGGCAAATCGCGAACTCCTGGAAGAGGGAGTCGGCGCGAGGCGCCGCGGCAGAGAAGGAGGGCGCGCGGCTGGCGGCGCTCGCTGACGCCGACCGAGGCGACGACGCGGGACGCGGCTCGCGCGTCTGGGCGAGCGGGGCGGAAGGCGGCTGCGTGGAGGAAGGAGCCGCGCGGCAGGAGGCTGCGCGCGTGACAGCGGGTGGCGGCGCGGGGCAGAGCCCGTTCGTCGGGGCTGGCGGAGGGGCGCCGGGAGGCGCGCGGCCTGCGGAGGAGAGCGGGGCCGAGGCCGGCAGCGCCGGCGGTGGCTGGGTCTCGGCCGAGGATGGTGGGGAGCCGGCGGCTTCTGTGGCGTCCACTGATGAGGAGGTGCCGCCGGAAGCGAGGGAGGCTGGCCGCAGGAGGAGCCGCTCGCCGTCGAGGATCGAAGAGGAGAAGGAGGAGCAGGGTCGCAGGGGTTCTTCGCTTGCGGTGACTCCAAATACGAAGCCGACCGTTGAGGAGCTAACGTCGGAGGCGGGGCCGGAAGCAAATCGGCTTTCACGCCGACCGTTGACCTGTGTAGGGACGAAGATGGAAGATCCGGAGAACGAGGCGAAGAGATCGACACCGGGAAAGATGGCGCCTCTAGCGTCGGCGACTTCGCTCGGGTCGTCGCTGGATGGGAGGACGGATCAGGTGGTCTGTATGGCGATGTTGGTGATAACGACCAACGAGGGATCAAAGAAGAATCCGGAGGGCGAACCGTCGATGGAATACGCAGCGGAGTTGAAGACAGCGGCCAGGTCAGGTTGTTCGCTGCCGAGAGGGGAGAAGCCGGAGAGAGCGCCGCTGGAGAAAAAGCAGGGAGGAGGCGGTTCTCGTTGTCCCGAGAACCCTAGATCATCAGGCCGGGTTTGGGAGCAGCAGCGGCAACGAGTCAGTCGGGCCGCGCTCGAGTCCATGGGCCGAGTTTTTTGGGCCGTGGGTCCGAGTCAGCGCAGTGAGCCAAGGGTTGAACCAGAGACGAGCAGGCTGACTCGCAAGATAGGCTTGCCTGTTGTGGTTCAGTCGAAGCAGGTCGAGGAAGAGCTCGTTGGTTTCAATTTGGCCCAGTTGGAGCAGCAAAACGGGCCGCAATTTAGAGTGACGTGGGCCGGGGAAGAGTCTAATTGTGGGCCGACACTTGATGAAGTTGAGCCCAACTTGGGCTGTGTGTTGAAGGAAGGAGGCTTGAATGGTGGGCTTTCAGGTGAGCCAAGCCCAAAAGAAGTTGAAAAGAAGATAAAAGGGCTTAATATAGGTTTGGGCTCTAGCTCTTCCTTCCAATCAATTGTGGGTCTAGTCCAAGATAAAGGAGGAGGAGATTGGATTATTTTCACATCCAAGTCAATGGAGGAGTTTATGGAGCACGAGGAAGAACATTTATCCGATTCTTATTTCGTGGATTTCGAAAAGAAAGAGGAAGAATTGTTCGGCTATGGAGATCGTGACCTGTGTCACGTGGTTCGAGAAAAGTTGGGGAGAGTCGGGGTCACGGGAGTGGGTTTCATTCGAGCAGTGGAGCACAATTGGAAGACAAGAAAGCGCAAGGAGTGGAGAAGACAAAACGCGGATTGCGCGGGAGATGTGAAGAAATGGGTCGAGTCAATCAACCTTGAGGGCAAGGTTGGTCTGAAGGGGGAGGAGATGTTAGAAACCGAATTATCTAGGGTTTCTATATTTATTATTTTAATTATTATTAGGGTAAGTCTTATTAAGGTTAGTAGTTATTTAGTAGGATTAGGTTTATTATTAGGGTTTTCTAGTGTTCCCTATAAATATGTACTTTGAGTCTACGTTACGATCAGTCAATAAAAAATTATCAAAGAATTCCCTAAACCCTAATCTCCTTATCTTCCCAATTCTCGATCTCAATCCCTCTAAAGGCCTAGGCCGATTCCCTTCTGTTCTTCCCCAATTCTTTCCCAAATCCCTAATTCTATCTTCTCAATCCCTAAATTCTCAAATATCACCCAATTCAAATCCCGTTAGAAACTTTGTTTCTAACACCTTGTGATTGATATTGATGAAGTCGGAACATAATGAAATCCAACAGGGTGGGTGGGTATCAAACCTGTGTGCAAGTCCTCTTGTCCAAGCAAAGATGGATGCAATGCTGTTTGTGCTGGTTTCACCACCTTTCTGGTGAACCCTGTAATGGCGAGTGACTGTACCATGTGCTGCCTCTGCCTCTATAGTCTTCCCATCTGGGCACACCTGAAAAGAACATAATCAATTACGTTAATGGATGAGAGGGGTGTGGTGGGGAAAACAGCACCAAAAACACAACAAAGGTCTCCAACAACACGACAAAGTTTAAAGAAACTGATCAGGACTGTCTTGTTTAAGAACCTGATCAAGAATGTTGACGTACCAGTACCGAAGTCATCAATCCAAGAGATCCAAAACCTGCAGAACCAACCGAAAAGTTATATAACAGATTCTCCTGATTAATTGGAGCACAAGCAAAACCAAGCAATCATCACAAGAATTAAATGCGAGAATCCAAACTCCTTAGTCCTTAGCCTGACAAAAGCTTAATCATTTCTTAAGTTGGTCAAATAGAGACATCAGAAAGGTAGGTTTTACATGCCTTGGGCTAACATATCGCTCTGCACATCTCCATCATAATTCTTGCAAGCCCATACATAGCCCCCTTCACTCTTAAGGGCATAGGCTACCATATCATCAATGAGCCGATGTTCATACCTACAAGTCCAAGCATTTCAAGTAAATTTAAGTATCAAGCGAACGAAGATAGATTATACTCGGAACCAAAAGTTTTATAAGTCGCACTACTCACCATATACCCGCAGCCTCATACTTGGTCTTCCAGCTGGCTTCATATACTTCTTGGAATATGTCCTTGAATCTTCATTGAAAAAAAAAATACAAAAATGAGTTCAAGTAATAACCTGAAGAAATGAAGGGTAAACCGTACAATGACCAATACACTCTCCAGATGATAAGAACAGATTGAAGGAACATACCTTCCATCATACTTCTTGAGAATTGTGTTTTTTGTGCTAAGATAAAGCGGCCACTTCTTCTCATAAGCAGTGGTCATAGAAGCCTCAGCAAATGCACGGATTGACTGCATTCCATGGTATGTTAAGAGTACAGCATTTCACCTTAGTAAAAATAAACTTAAGGAACTCAAAAGACACATGTACCTCATCAGTGTTGTACATGGACAAAGCTACCCCACCAGCACCTGTGAAATTGTAGACTTCTATATCTTGATTCTCACCTTCGCCTTCTGGAACTGGAGCATTTTGGACAAGTTACTTAAGTATTCATGGATAAAGGAAAAACAGAAAGCAATGATCTCAACATAATGCAAAGGGTTATTCTGTAAAAAAAAAGTTGCAAAGCTGCTCATAAATGAGTTAATACACCTCTTTAAGCTCCTACATTCTTGTTGAAGAAGAACCGGAAGTAAGCTATGCGGAAAAGAATGAATTAATACAACACAATAGTATGAAACGGCAAGGACAAGAATATACCAAACACCAATTTGAGTTTGCCAGGCCCCTTAATAACAGAATCTGTTGCTCTGTATTGATCACCAAAAGCATGCCTACCAATGCAGATAGGCTTAGTCCAACCTTTCGCATGTCAGCAGCAGAAACAGGTTAGTCAAACTCCACAGGATTGACACAAAAATGATAAATATCTAGATAGAATAAAAGGAAGTACCTGGAATTAGCCGAGGGACGTTTTTACATATAATTGGTTCTCTGAATACAGTACCTAAAACCAAACGCATATACCACATATTAGAGGAGCTCAACAGAACAGGTATAACTGTAAACATTTTAAGTTTTTAACCAATAGGATCTAGTTAATTTGTTTGGTAAAATATTTTTAGCTAATTTAGCTTAAGTGGTTCTGTCTGGCCTATAGACAATGTTACCCACAAAAATTGCATTATAATGGGTAGCCAATTAACTGAACTAATTTAGATTTGGACACGGTAATTAGTGTTTGGTGTAAATTTGCTTGGTTTGTTAAATTATTATGTTTAATTGTCTATTAATTCCAATGCTTAATTGGTTCAATCACAACCAAACCAACTGTTGGAACCACCCTACGTCCCGACCACATTCTAAAATATGGAAGTCACTGACTACACGAATGCAATTATCAGAGAAAGTAGGAGAACAGGTACCATTCAAAATGTTCCTGATTGTCCCATTTGGGCTCCTCCACATGCTTTTCAAACTGTATTCCTTGACTCGATCTTCGTCTGCCAATCATAAGTCAAGTTATAATCCTTCTCCAATGAAAGAATCCACAATTGCAGTAGGAGTGAACAGATGTTATGACGAGCAGATCATTCTTTCCAGCCATATGGAAGCATACCTGGTGTAATAGTTGCACACTTGATTGCAACATTATACCTAATAAAGGGGAAAGAAGAATTCAGCCAACACAAACTTAATAAGAGAAACACAAAAAGTCATAAGCTTATAAGTCCAATAACAGGAAGATGACCAATGTGATATTATCCAATCCACAACACAAAGACAAGCAGCAAGGCTGGAAGGTAGCCCATAGAAAGCTCTTGTACCACTGCATATAAGTACCTTCATTCTATTTAATGCTTAGTTTTGACATTGTTAGTATCAGGGTACCAATAGACATTAGAAACCTTATCCATGATCAACCTACCCCACTTGCACAAGAATGGTAGTAATACATCCAGAGTCCAGAGTAAACAGAGGATATAAAATGCACATAAGAAGAACTAGTGGTTTAATTTGGAAACAAAGGAAAGGAATGAAAAATAGACAGAATATTTAAGCAAGACTAATAAAGATCTTGATCTCTGATACAAATTTTCATATAAGAGATACTTCATAAAAACTATGCAGGAAAACTTACTTGAGAGTAGCCTCGGCACTCTCGACTGTAACCTTATCATCAGTTGCATCACGATGTGGAAGGCCAAGGTCAAAGTACTTAATGTCCAATTCCACAAAGGGAAGAATAAGCTGGACAAGGAATCAAAACCAAGAGTTCAGAGGTAGCAAAACATAATGCATTGTGTTGAGAATGATAAGGAATTTCTTCCTGAATGACCAGAACAAATGTTCTTAAGTACCTTATCCTTAATTGACTTCCAGATAATTCGAGTCATTTCATCTCCTGTTAAAGAAAAAAACATGTAAGTGAATCACTCATTCATTACACATCAATTGGAGCGAACAAACTGCAACCAACATGTAACATTTTCAGTGCATAGAATCAAATTGGCAAAGTGCAAAAACATGAATTTTTATTTTATAATGATGAAAACGTGAACAACAAAGAACAAGAACCAGTAGCCAGGTCCCAATAAAACAGCATCAGGACCCACTAGCAGGTACCAGAAACAAAAACTGAGAAATGAAAAAAGAAAGAGAAAAAGCCAAACCATGAAAAAATGTTGGAAAAACATTTTCTTCTAGATGATTAGGATAACATTAAGATCAACAAAACCAAGAAAAATTCGCTTATACTACCAAGTGTTTACACAAAATCGACATATGCCACAAAATCTTCGTATGCGAAAAACCAAAATTCGAGGCATGTATACTATGAGAATATACAGAAGCTTCACCTCATTCCACCGAATCTCAAGAATTTTACCATAACCCCACCAAACACAACCAATCATTTTCATTTTATATCTGGGGCATAGTAGTCACTAGTCACAGTCACTGAACAGGAAAGGAAATGAAGATTGAGCGCAACCCTCACAAAGATCTGTCACCTGGATCAGTGACCCCAATTTGAACACGATATCAAACAGAAATCCAGGACCAATTACACTGCGCACTTTCATCACATGGAAGGTCCTTCACCTATGTCCACCACATAACGAATAAAAGAAATTCCCATTACTAGATCAATCTAGGATAAGAATCCCCTTGGTTAATGCCTTAGTCATTCCCGTTTCTCAGTATGACTGTACCGACAATAAAAACACCAAGTCTCGTTCTCAATCTCTCAGGACCCGGATCGCACATCAAATCAGGAAAAACATTTCAGCTGATCAAACTCACGAACACAATTCAACACAAACAAATAGATCAAAGAAAATGAAACAAACAGAGGAAACGATCGCATGACGATCAAACAGGATGAGAAGAAGATCTCACCGTCCATCTCGACGATGGGGTTTGTGACCTTGATCTTCTCGAAAGCCATGGCTGGTTTCAGTAGGAGGAGGAGCTATGGATTTAGGATTAAGATCCGGGAATCGTTGTTTTTTGGGATTGTTGTTCGTCTCCCGGTAGTGGAAGATGGAAGGTGGCAACCGAGAACCCGCCCACTGAAAGCAGCAGTAGCGGTATGCGAGAACTGTTGAGAAATGTGGAATCCCGAAATCGGATCTGTTTACTGTTTAGGGGTTTGAGACCCTATTTAACGAGAATTATGACTAGCAATGCTTGGATTTAAATTGTTCGGATTATTAAATTGATGTTATTTGGATTGAGGTTGAAAAATGATAATGTTTGTATCGGAAAATTTAGCAATAGAGTATTTGTCAATCGTAATGAAATTGTGGTTTAATCATAGTTAAATCGTTTCATACCATTAAATATTGTTATCAATTTTGATGTCGAAACAAAAACTTAAATAATGGTTAGTCAAGAACACACACCGCTTGAGATATGGCAAAACGATACCAGGCCTAAGGGTTCACCTACTTGAGCCCTCCACTAAGATCACCTTTTGTTGAGGATATTAATTATTTAGTCAAAAATAATTAATTCCTTGTCCTCCAAGTCCCTTGTTTCCTTGTCCTTGTCAAAGAAGGAAACCTGGTTGTCATTAGGGTTTTAACCATAAGTCTCTCTATATAAGCTTAGCTACGAGATTGTCGTAAGCAAGTCGTCACAATGTAGTCTCATAATAAAATCGTCAGCCATGAGCTCGTTCCGAGCTCACCGTGGATTAGTCTCGATCAATCAATCGATCGAGGATACCACGTAAAATCTTGTGTCCCGTGTGTTATTTCACTTCCGCATCATCAAATTCTACATGGTATCAGAGCTAAACTCGGTCCCTTCTCTAGAGTTTTGAGCTTCCGTAGTCGGTCTCCATGGTTTCTCCTGTCATCATCAATCGTCAATTGCCGCGTCGCCAATCACTGCCACTGTTCCCATCTGTTCCAAGATGTGGTAGCTCACATGGTCACCATTGTTGTGGCTGAATCATAAGTCAAGGTTGCCGCCCAGTCACAGCCGTCGTCCACAACCAGTTCAGTTCGTAATCCCGTCGACCTAGGCGAAGTCCAGTCCGCCGTGATTTATCATTCCTCAATATGTCAGACGCAGCCTAGTCAGAGATCGTCTTTCAGATTCGGTCCGTGTCCATTCTGTAGTAAGAAAGAAGAGTCGATGTCCACTCCGACCTTCAACTCCGGATCCACTTCGTTGCCGCCTCTGCTTCTCCCGTAGTTCAATGGCGAAGTCCTTCCCGCCAGTCGAGCACGAGATCTCTAGTCTGCGCCGTCGCCGTCATCGACTGTTCTCTTGTTCTCCATCGTCGTCCTTGTCACTATTGGCCGTCATCTGTTGTGAAGATTCCCGCCGTTCGTGCATGACCCCTGCTCGTCACGTCAGCACCAGTCCGCCATCGTGCCATCGTGTCAACAAGAGGGCAACGCTCTCAATTCCAGCTCAGAGCAATCATACCCCATTACTCCGTTCAGCCACGCCGGTCTCTGGCTCCGCCTCCGTCAGTCCACTCGCCGGCCGTAGCTCTGGTAGTAGCGGCTGGTTGCCGCGGGACGAGCATCAGTGGAGAAAGAGAAAAGGCGAGAAGGAAGAGGAAGGGCAACGTAAACCTAGTGGGCCGGCCACCCTTCCCTTTTGGGCCTCGTCCCAATAGTACAAGAATCAGGCCGCGTCGCCCTCGTCAAGAGACGCAGTCAACCGTCTCTGTCAGGTCGTTTAAGAGACGCAATCAACCGTCTCCGTCGCGACGTTCAAGAAGATGCAGTCAACCATCTTCATCAGGTTGTTCAAGGGAGAGAGTCAGTCGTCTCCAAATCAACCTCGTCCGAGATGTTATTCATCTCGAGTTTTGTTGTTCAAGCTTGTCATGCTTGTTCGTCACATTTCCTTTTTCAAGCTCGACATTCTTGTCACTCATGTCTTCGCTTGAAGGGGAGTGTTGAGGATATTAATTATTTAGTAAAAAATAATTAATTCCTTGTCCTCCAAGTTCCTTGTTTCCTTGTCCTTGTCAAAGAAGGAAACCTGGTTGTCATTAGGGTTTTAACCCTAAGTCTCTCTAAATAAGCTTAGCTACGAGATTGTCGTAAGCAAGCCGTCACAATGTAGTCTCATAATAAAATCGTCAGCCATGAGCTCGTTCCGAGCTCACCGTGGATTAGTCTCGATCAATCAATCGATCGAGGATACCACGTAAAATCTTGTGTCCCGTGTGTTATTTCACTTCCGCATCATCAAATTCTACACCTTTTGATACCTTCAGGAACACCAAAACTGCCCTCGAGATGGATCGAACAGTCGAACACGAGACCTCACACTTCCCGGTCGAGGGTCTCTTGGTGAGGTTTTTACTTAGTTTTAGATACTCTTATCTAGCTGGAACGATATCACATTAACAACAACAACAACAACAACAACAACAAAAACATAACACCTTTCCCCAAAAGTTTGACCTTGCAGTTAAAACTTAAACTTAGGGGTCGTTTGGAAGTTGCGTATGTTAAATCGTTGTATTGTTATGAATCACTATGATATAAATGCATGCATTGAAACAATAGATGCATTTTGAAATTACATTGTTTGGTTGTTGAGATTATAATTTATGAATTGATTGTTATAAAGTTACTTTATAAGGAAATGTCATATTTCTCCTCCACTTTTAATATAAAACAAAAAGAACTATACACATAATTGGAAAAAGTAAAGGTGCTCAATTATTAAACCAACACTCACAACAATCTCAACTTTTAGTTGAGATTGTATAATCCCTCATTTTTGTTGATTGTTGGTGGGTCCCACACAAAACAATACATGCATTGTTTTGCAACTTGACACTTCCAAACGTTGTATTGTGAACAATGCATGTATTTAACAAATACAACACTAACAATCGCAACTTCCAAACTTCCATCTCAGTTCTTTAAAAATGGGCATCTGTATCTTAGATAAGAAGTCATAACTCATAACTTAGATTGAACATGAGCTTCAAACACTTCCCAGAATGCTTTACAAACAAAAGAGACTGATCAAAAAAGGGATTACTACACAATTCCTTCTCCCTAAACCCCAAAAATGGCTGCCCTGCCCAGCCCCCAACCAACTTCTGTGCAACTAAACTTAAGATACTGCTACCATTTCTACAAAATGAAAGAATCAGAGGTGATGATTTGATATGTACATCATCACATGACGATATTTACTCTCTGATTCTCCAGCTTCATGTCATCCAATAAGGTCAGCTCTGCCATAAGCCGATCGTATTCAGCATTTTCTTCTTCCAGTTCCCTAGTAAGCTTTATCACCTGCATCACCAAAAGTCTTATCTGTTATCATTTAATACGAGAGTCTCTGGACATTACAAATTCATGAAAGATAAAAACCAATCCTGTACCAATCTATACTACAGAAGAAACTGCTGATATTGCTTTTGTATCAATTACCTGTAGATTGAGCTCTTCCTTCCGCATCTCGTATTCAAATAAGCTGGAAAAAGGATAACGGAACACACACAAAAGTTGAGCACAATGAAGTATTAAGAAAAACTCGTGGCTTCCTTGGTCTTTCAAAGTGCAATCATAAATATCAAGAAGTGGATCTATACTCAAATAAAGTGTGGATATGGGTGACAAACGGAATCTAAACCATGTCAAACAAACCGGTAAGCTAGTAGCATTGCAATGTAGTGACCAGTGAGTGATGCTTACTCTGCTTTGAGTTTTTGGTTGTCTTGCATCAAAACTGCAACCGCATTTTGCTGCTGCTGCTGCTCCAGGAAATCACCGTCAATGAGAAAATAGGGGGAAATTAACACTTGCTTTCAATTCAGAATAAAACATGAGGTGTTAAGGGCAGAATAGTATAATCAATTCATGCACTCGACAACTCATTCATATTAAACAAATACCATGCGGAAAGGTACACAAACACTCAAGGGAGACTAAAGAAAGCTCCAGAGATTTCAAAATTGCAAGGAAACATGAAAAAGCTATAACCATTTGGCATAATGTGTGTATCAATGGGGTTATGGGGTGACACACTCACACCCCTCATAGGGTAACAGAAAACAAGTACAATATTGTATCAGTATGTAGATGCATTCTTACAGAGATATGTCTGCTAGAACTGGATGCTGAAGTAACTGCTACACCTTCCCCAAGTCTTGGCAGCTTTCTAACAGCGTCGGGTGTAACTGAATTGCTATGCTCCTTCCTTTTAACGCCTAACCCTGATAGAGAGACAACGTTGTATCGTATTATAAACCTTCTTAATTTCCTACCAAACCACAAAAGCTTATTATTCATGTTATTTACCAGGAGAAGCTGCCTGTTCGGTGCCAACAGTAGGGAAGGTTCGATTTGACATGGCAGGAGGATCAGATGGAGAGCTCACTGCTCTAACCTTCTTTGTTACGTGGTATCCTATTAGCCCACAATGATAGTCCCTGCCAAACTACATCAACTAAGTGGATGCATAGTAAAAGAAACTACTACTCAAAGGATAAAATCCACATGTTTCTTGCGGAGAGAGAAATGTAGCAGTAAGAAGAGATCCAACCACGCAGATCTTTCTAACATAAACTTGGAACATCATTGAGCACAACAAACAGCAAGGTAAAAAATTTCTTCCGTGCTGGGAAGAGTTCTTCATAAACCTACAGCAAAGAGTCAGAAGCCACTAAAGTGCATATTCAAAATTATTATGGTAGCAACACACTTTTCATGCAAACCACTTGGAAGTTGAAACAAGTGGAGCATGTCTATCCTGCCTTCCAGTTCATCTTCTCATTAGTTCACAAAATACCTTCTGATGCTCACTTATGCAGTTTTTGGGTTCAATAGCATTCCAATTGTTAAAACTTCAGAATACCCCATTATTTACGCAGCCATGTAAATTTGCATCATATACTTCACATGGTTACTCTGTTCCAAAATTTAAATGAAATAGGTTGCAATATTAAATGAATGTTACCAGTATTCCCATGCCATCTCCTTCAATCGAACTTCAAGCTTTTGGAAAATGGAAGTTCTCTCGAAGTCCTGTTTACTATGAGTTGGTTGGATATAGTTTGCTTCTAGAATACCTACACAATCAATAAAAATATCACTTTTGTTGTCTATCATTACTAGCGCCAATCAAATACACTGAGAAAGTCGGAAAGGAGATGCTCCGACAGACTCCTCACCTACGACTCCTCTGCTCCTAGTGTTAGTAAGATTCACAGCCTGCATAAAAGGCTACAATAAAAGGCATGTTTACACGTCAGAGACATGGTGACACAAAGGTAGCACTAAAAATACTCGTGTTAATCTCATATTCTAAACTTACAGAATGTGTACCATGATGAAAAAATCAGACCCGGTTAAAAACATATATCTCGTTATATTTTTCATGTGTGGACCTAGGAGAACACAACTGAGTGGCTTGCCTAGAGACAGTTCCCCTAAGGAAGTCAGAGTGATAGCTCTCCAACTACCATTTTATTCATGTCAAATGCAGAGATGCTAAAACAGTGGACGTAGGGTTCCGAACACTCCTAACCAGTGCCAACAGAACACTGCACAGAAACTTCATCAACAAATGGGCTGGGAGTTGGATTTATTTAGATTTCTAGAGAGATGAGGAAAATTAGAGAGGTTTTGTGAGGTTTTATAAGAAGTCGAGCAAAAGATTACAATGAATGGATAAATTTACCTTTATTAGACGGTTCTTGTGATAAATATTGAAGCCATGGATATTGACATGTGGAGCATCTTTCACAAACCCAATTGTAGTTATCACGTTAACCTAGAAAGTGAATTAAGAGGAATACAAACTCCATCACTATATGGTAGTTATGCTTTGCAGTGTAGTGGGCAGCAAATAACAAATGAAACAAGGTGCAAATACAAGCCATGAAAAACAGACATATGCATCACAGCTTCATTTATTGTGATGCACATAGGCAAACCACCTTCTTCATCGTACTAGATAAAGGTATATGATTTAAACAAGTGCCAGTGTTCAACGATCAGAAATTTAGACTTCTGTCTAATGAATAGTTCCAAAATCAGTCCCTACTACAACTCTTCACCACACGAAAACATATCTAATAGGAAGCATAGTAAAATCACAATTTAAACAATGAAACAACCACAACAACCTGAACTAAAAGATTAGAAATAGCATGACAAAGTGCAACCCATCAGATATTTGTGGTATCACTTAGATTTTTAACTGCAAAGTAGAGGTTGTCTAACATGGCCCCGAACAGGCATCTCCAATCTAGAGACACATGGGTGGGAATAATAAGAGCCAAGACTTGAGAAAATAAGCACGAATAGAAAAGATAGCATACCTCTCTTAACCCCCCAGCCTGAGGTTTATACAAGATATATTCTGGAAACTTGAGGTCATCAGCAAGATTATGGGGCATAACAACTTGGCCACGCAATTTAATACAGAAAGTTTCAGGAATTCGCAGGTACAATATGGACATATATGCCTACGAAGCAAATTAGATGGATTAAAAAACTCACATGGTAAATGCAAGGAGTGTGTTTCACAGTTAACTTACACGTAGAGAGTAATGTAAGCGATTGGCAATGTGCTGTTCCTTTACTGTCCTCCAAGCAGGAAGCGATTCTACCTTTCTTGTATCTCCTTCAATACAAATGTCCTAAAATGTAACACCAAACAACAATTTAAGCCTGGAAGGTTCTCTTATAACCTCATACTATATGGAAATTCTGGATTTACTGATCTCCCGCGGTCATTCCAGTGATGATAATATTAAAAGCGAACAGCTGCATGTCTGTTGCATTTACATAAGTTTTTAAAGATTTTTTTTTTCTGTATGTGGAAAATTTTCTATCCAATTAAGGTTTAAGGATGAAATAAATGCCTAGTACTGCAAGAGGTCAAGACATATTAAAGTTTGATGGAGAAGCAAGAATTAAGGAAAAGGGACTGACTTCATCATTCTCCTGTTGCCTTATGGATATAGGACAAGTACACAATAGGCCGCTATGTTCTAGGAAAACTCAAGAATAACAAGAAACAGGAGAAAATGTTCAAGACTATAATCGAATTACAAGCCATGCATACTTTCTAAATAAGCTCCACAAATGCATTGTATTGTTTCGTTCAGGACCTTTTCAAATATGCTTAAGAAATACTTGCAGTGACTTCCCATTTATGACACATCCTTTCTTCGACCATTCACTTTGTGATCACTTTGACTAGTTATTAATAGTTGTCTGAAGTTCCCAAAAAGCTTGAACTGCCATTTCATTAAAATGAAAAAGTGAATGATGCTAACACAAAAACCACTTCTAGCAATATCAGTTTTGTACACAGCCTAAGAAGCTTCAATTCATTGGGAGAAAGCAACAAAGGCAAACCTGAGGATCTTTATTAAAGTCTAACTCCAAGTTGCCATCATCATTGTACCACAGGTTATAGATCACAACTTTTGTCCCATGTAATCCAACATCATCAAACTGCAACGAATAATGTTTGGTTACTAAATTTAGAGTGTGAGAATGAAAGTGGCTGATCACTCGATGATTGCAAAAGAAGAGCTATAGCGTAGGCATTCACAAAATTTGAGAAGAGAGGTTTCGAAGGCTGCACTCTGTTCAAATTTTCAAATTCCCTCACTGGAGACCAAACTTCATGCCTTCCATCAGATAATAGATTTATATAGTTCCCCTACTGGGCACCCAAACGAGGTGTGAAATGATATAGATATTGAACTGCCAACAAAATCTCCAATGTAATTTAGTAGTAAGTTCTTAAAAATGAGATTCACCTGCTTCAACAGCTCTGTTTCGCTTGAATATGGAGACCATTGCAAAAGTAATGAAAGATTAGCCTGGAAAGACTCATTGGTATGCCGCCTAGAAATTCCGAACTTCCCAATATCTGTATTGAACTCATAATCCACCTGCATAACAAGAGATACAAAGTAAAATTTTCAGAGAAAAGATTGCTCGCTGGTCAAAATTCTAAGTCGAACCTGAAGGGTGGTGTGCCCCATCTAGCAGAACAATATATGTCACCCACTCACATATTTAAGCACCATAAACGCCTTATCCACATGATACAGTTCCTAACATAAAGGAGGAAGAAGCAAGTAGACTAACGTATCTCAAGTATGATGCTGGCACTCACCATTGGAACTATTATTCGGTCATGACCCATCCGCATTAAAAATGAATATGAGAGGAGACCAATACTTTGAGTCGCAGACCTGTATAGAACGCATGGAATAAAAAGATTAGATGGGTCTAACGATGAATACCAGACAACACAATTTTTTTTTGGCACACAACTACAGTCTATTACAACATAATAAAGCACAATTATGGGGCCACCCGTACTTGATTTGTACATTATTTGACCAAAACAAATTGCCAAAAAGTGGCTAGTATCACTGTACAAAGAAGAATTGTAAGTGAAATTCAGAAGCTTATCATGAATCCATATCAGAGAACCCTTCAAGATAAACAACTTCCATATTGCATGCCAGCTACGGAAAAACTTATCCATTTGATTTCATGGAATATACAAATTCTAAAGGTGCTCCTCAAAGTGAAAGGATAAATACTAATATCTATCACCACCAGATCTTTTAGAGGTATCATTTAGTGGCCCTTTTGCCTCACTACAGCTAGAATGTTGACAACAGATTCTAATTGGAAAAAGGTACTCTACCAAACTAGATCCTAACTTGATTAGTTGATTACTCCTATGCATAACACAAGTTGTAATGTGCTGTCAATGATTTGGTCTAACCTTTCTTCCATATGGCGAGTAAAGACAATAACATCAGCTCCAAGCCTCATGCTGCTGGTTTTAAAGCCATTACCATCTGCAACACCGCATTCAACAGCAATAACTAAAAGATACAAAGGAAACTTTCCGAGATACATAGAATTGTCATTTAAAATGCATACATTGTCCAATAGCTTCTGAAGATTTTTTATCAGAGAACCCAAAACTGATGCATCGCCGGATTGCTTCAGGGTCCATTCCCCCACCATCATCTAGTTTCCAGGGATACCAAGTCATTGAAAAGAAGTAAGAAACGTTCATCATCCACAAAATATTTGCATTAAGAAATACAGGAAAGAGTACATGAACATGAAGGAGTATGCGCCATTTAGAAAGACAAGGAGTACCTTGGATTAACAATGCTGAACTTCCATCTCTTGGATTTGAGATTTTGTCTACCATGACAAAAGTGGCCCCGTTTTGGATCTATCCAATAACAGGAAAGATTAAAGCAGCTAGGAAGTCCACATTATTATTGAGCAGTTCTCGCCAAATACTCGGCTGCTCGAAACAGTTACTAGCACTCTTCTACTATTAATAAATTCAATTCACAGTTATCCAAAAAATAAAGTTACTAGCAATTAGTGTACCCACAGGCCTACTGGCAGCAGCTCAGCCATCTAAAAGTATCAGCATAGTAAGGTTTAGGTAGTTCAACCATGAAGCATGTATAAGCCAAGGAGCTTTCCTATGAATTTCATTGAGAAGATGAAAAATGATCTAATATTTTAACCTTTCAACCTATTCCAAAACGCTATGCATCACAAGTTCAATTACTAAACCACATCCTTGAGACAATTGCGGTTTTTAAGTATAGACTATAGTTCACAATGTCTTTCGTAAAGTATAGCAAGACAATCTTATGAAAGCTAGTCAATCATCTCAATGCACGTGTTCAGTTTATGCTGAACTATAAATGACTTGTGACTAAAACAAGGTCACAACTAAAAAGGTCAAACATTTTTTTAACTAAGTAATTAGGGTGAAAATATTACCTCGTCAATGGCATTGTCAAGCAATTCCGCAATTGCTGAAAGTGGTCATATAGAGGAAAGTAAGATACAGACAAATTGGTAAACTATCACAAAGCAACGAAAAGTGATTCAAAAACTGCTTCAACCATACATACCACCAAATGCCCACGTATGCGAAGTGGCATTTGAATGAAGAAACATAGGGTGAACATGAAGGTAGGTTTTTCCACCTAGCATCCAACAGATTGAAATAACGTCAGCTAGAAAGATTATGGTGACATTGGAATGTAGCTGCTTAATGAATATATCACTCTGTAACTCAACATTAAAGGAAACCGCAAAAGGTAGCCTCCAGTTGCTAGGAAAAAAGGCACAAATCAGAAATGCATCACTCATCAATGGTTGTACATAAGTGCAGGGAATAGCTTTCTGGCAGCAATTAAGGAGTAAAAACCTAGTGTTCAATGGCCTTGATCATGTAATATAAGTATTTTTGCAGCATACTCTGAAGATTGACTCTGGAGCCATGTGCATCACTATAGTTCCCAGCCTTCCAAAACTGCCGACAAATTGGTGCTGAAGGCAAGGCAGAGGTAGATGAAACTCGAGCATCATCCACTGCAGACTGTCCCTGCTCCAACAAAGTAGACCCAGTTTGGGCAGCATTTGAGGTATTTCGGCTTCTATTGTCCTCAAACACGTCATTTCCTGCATATTGGCTCGTGTACTTCTCCTGTTGTACTTTTTCAACCATCCGGTTAATACTTCCCCGAGATCCAACCCTCAGACGATCTGGCTCCAAGTTAACAGCTATCATGCTCGCCATCCCTACTTAACAGCTTCACTGCACAAGTGCATAAATCAGAATTAATCTAGCTTCACATACAATACAATAACTAAATAAACCCAACACATTTCTAAAGGCAAGAACCAAAGATGGCAAAGGAAGGACTCAAAAGGCAAGCCAGCATTAAGAAATCAGAATCATTAGCATCTTTCTACACAGGTTGAACCGCACTGCGACACGCCCTTGCAACCTATGATCCTAACAATATCATCTATAGCAAAAGCCCCAAATTAGCAAGAACAAAAACACCTGAAGCACTAAGAAGTGAAGGACCAGCAAGAGGGGTATTAGATTCATGAGAACATACAAAATCCAACCCAACACAACCTCCCAGCCCGGAAGAACACCCACTGAAGCCCACCCACCTTCTCAAAATTGTCATCAACGCAGAAAAGGTTGAACAACAAAGAAGTTACTAGTTATGACAGCATGCAGCTCCATCTCCGCCTTCCCACACCTTGGTGAAATTTTTTCCAGGAAACACAGTCCAGTAGGGAAAAGGAGAATGAAGAGGAAGGAGAAAATTGAAACACAATCCAACCGAGCGAGCCAATGCTGCATGCGATGCTAACGATGACACCATTGACGGCCCATGAGACCGATCATCAGAAGATCAAAATTCAGGTAAAAGCAGACTCCAAGGGGGTCGGTTCAGTCGTAATGAGCGGTGAGAGGTGATCAACTCTCTGAGTAGGTAAAGTTCGGAGCAAGCAACAGCACCATTTGAACGGAAACAAATAACGGAGAAGCACTGACCTGTCTGAAGCAGGCGGCGAGCTGAATTTCGGTTTTCCAATTTCAGGTTTGAAGCTGATTCCCAACTCTAGGAAATGCACGAAAACTTTGAAGGTGTGGCTGCAGATTGCTTCAGGGGAAAGAGAACAGCAGTGAACTCTCGAATGGCGGCAAACGGAGAACGGCCGGCCGCTGCCGCTGATTTCTCGTTTCTCTCGTCCCGTTCTTCGACGTTGGTATCACGCAGAACAGCTACTTCACGAGCAAGGCATAGGCTACTAGGCCGGAGAGGAAAGAAAATGAAAAATGAGACAAAATAGATCCTCAGTGATTTTGTGTGCTGGAATTGGGAATTTGGGATGGTGGGCCGTTCGGGTGTAAATAGTCTCGGATAGCATGGGGCCGAACCGGACCCTCTCGCTGACAGTGACAACCAATGGCAATTTGGTTATATATAAAAGAAATAAGTAATTATTTCTTGTATTTATTATACTTTGGGAATTAAAAAAACTCATATTCAATGCATTATTTTTTTAGTTTAAATCCTACAATAAATACATTTCTCTCTTTATCTCTCTCTTCCTACAATAAAGAGTTTAAATCCAACTGACATAGTTTCTACTGTGAAATCTCTCGGTCAGACTCGCTCCGGCAACTTGCAAAAATAGTCAATGCGTTAAAAAATGTACCACTCTCATCTGGTAATATTACCATTGCGTTAAAAATATTTACAGCTACATCTGGTAATGTTATTAGTGCAGTGATAAACGTTACCAGATGGAGCGGTAGTGCTACCACTCCATCTCCATCGGTAATGCTACCACTAGACGAAAAAACTATCACTCGAGATAAACAAAAAAAAAAAACATATCTGGAAATAAAAATATCACAATTCTAAAAAGTAAAGGGGAGGGGGAGAAAGAGTATTGACGGAGGGACGCACACCAAGAGAGGCGACGACGACGACGGGGGAGAGGATGGCAATCGGCTGGATAGAGGCGATGACTGTGGCAATTGAGGACGTCGACGACGCGAGATTGGAAAACGGCAGGCGACCTCGTCGCGGTTGGGAGGAGATTCGGCGGGGAAGGGAACACAATGATCGGGAGGAGATGAGGAGGGAGAAGGAAGGAATTAGCGGCGTGATGACGGCGGCGGAAGGGAGAGATGGAGGAAGGGCAGGCGGCTAGGGTTTTGTGTGGGAGGGAAGAGAGAGGAGAGTGGAGGGAGAGGACGTGAGGAGGTGAGTTGTTACTTGTGAGAAATGAATAAATAATAGGGAGAGATCACATGTGGCATTATTTTTGTTCCAAAATTACCCTTCATGCGATCTTGTCTATCAATTAAAAAAGGGAGGAAAGTTAATGGATCTGATGGCTAGAAGGTAGGTTGTGAAAATGGCAACCCCTTAGTAGGCCTGTTAGTCGGTGCGGTTTCGGTTTAACCGAACCGCACCATCGGTTAGCCGAGACCGCAAATACCCCATCATCGCCAACCGAAGCCGACACCGACAAGACCATCGGTGAACCGCTAACCGCAGACGGCGGTTTCGGTTTGGAGTTGCGGTTAGCCGAGACCGCAAGTCCCCTCTCTATTTTCGATCTCTCCAGCTCTCTCTCTCTCTCACTCCTATTGGCTGCCATCAATCCCATCGACCACAGACGACTCCCTTCCAATCCTCTCCACTTCGACTTTTTCCAATTGACTCCTCCGCTCTTTTTCAGCCGACAATTTTTGAATCGGCCAGATTCTGCCGGAACTAGAACATGCATGGAGGTGTTGTTGTTGGATTTTTCGATCGGAGCCAAAGGAATAAGGGAAAGAGTTGTTAGAGGCAGAGATGGCGGGCCTGGATCTGAACCCGCCGCGGAGGAGCTACTTCACCAAAGGCTGCCGCTTCGACACCCTCTACTTCTCTTCCTCCAAGCAAAGTCGTGGCTAGATCTCGCCAAGGTCGGGATTGGGGAGATAGGGTCGGCGACGCTCAGGTTGGGGCGCTAGGTTAGAAGGATGAGAATCGAGAAGAAGTTGGTGTTCTTCCATCTCTGGGTCGGCAAAAATTGAGATAAGGAGGTTGAATTGGGAATTTGGGATTTAGCTATTTAGGAATTAGGGATTTATGAGGGCAACAGTGGAGAAAGGTGGGAATTTGGAAAGGAAGGAAGAGGAGAGAGCTGCGGGAGGAGAGGGAGTGATTCGCATGGCCGGCATATTGGTCTTCCACTCTTCCTCTTCTTCGTCATTCTCATCGGCGTGCGCAGTGGAGAGGTCTGGCGGTTAGCAGCGGTGCACCGAGTTTTTCTCGGTTAGCAACCAGCAACCGTCGGTTACAGATATTCCCCGAAAATTGGCAACCGACGCCGACACCGAACCTATTATAGTCGGGTTTCGGTTATCCGATAAACCGACATTTCGGTTCGGTTGTCGGGTAAACCGAATAACCAAGACCGAATTATCACCCCTACCCCTTAGAGGTTGTGACGGAATCTCATTGGCTAGTGATTCGGGTCCAATTGTACACATTTTTATATCATATATTGATCGTTTGGCTTTGCATTTCATCATACCTCGACATATTTCACGCTAGGTTGTGCTTGTTTTGATACATTTCAGGTCCTAGCATGCGTGGAAGGGTCGAGGACGAATTTTGGGACGATTGGAGGTCGAAAAACGCAAAAAGACCGAAGAAAAGTTCAAAGTCACTATTTGGACGCAATTGTCACGATCGCTAGACCGTGACAATTGCCCCATAATAGTGAAGCGTGGGCGTCCAAAATCAGCTGCAGTTCACGGTCTGGCATTGGAGTTCACGGCCTCTAAGGTCGTGAACTGGATCCACAAACCGTGAACAATGAGGTGTCCAGGGAGAATTCTGATGTTACTAGCGCCGATTGAGTTCACGGTCACCAAGACCGTGAACTTTGAGCACAAACCGTGAACCCAGGAGAGTGAAGCGGTGCATTTTGGAGACGGGACTGAGTTCACGGACGCGTTTAGGTGTTCACGACTGTGAACTGGTCACTTTCGGGCAAATATGAAGGCAGCAGCGGGGAGAGAGAAAAGGGAGCTGGCTTTAGGTGAAGGAACACTTTCTTTCTCTAGGGTTTCAACCCAAAACACCAAAGGAGAGTTCTAGTGAGAGAAGGAGTGATCTTGGAGTTTAATTGAAGGCATTGATCAAGTTTGTAAGCTAGGAATCAAGCCTAGAAGAAGAAGATGAAGATCTAGAGGTTACTTTGTAATCTCTCCTCTCTCTCTAGAAACTCACCCTCTTCTCTTGGGTTTGAGAACCCTAGGCCTAGATTTGGGTTTTATCTTGATGTATGTGACACATTACATGTTTGATAGATGATTTTACTTAATAGATGGATGTTTTCGTGAGTGGCATGAGTGTGGTTTCTATTTTCATGCTTTGAGCTTTTGACCTAGGAGTGGGATAATCCCCTTAGAGCCCCTTCCTTGGCGTCTTCGGGTCACTCCTATCGTAGATTGTTCGGGTAGTCCCCGAGGGAGTTGATTCGATCGGTCTCCTAGCATTATACAAAATCCTAGGTTGAATAGAGCACTACCCATCCATCGATTCGCCGATCATGGTCCTTCCCGAGGGAGTCCATCTCCAAACGGTAGTGTATTTGAGTCGATCGAGCTAGGAGGATATCCAACATCGATCCAAAGAACGGACCTAGGACGATTCAACCAAGAGAGCTCCCAACCTTGTAAATAGTTAGGTTAGTGGTTAGCTAGGTTAGTTATTTTAATTCTTCTAATCACCATCCTAGGCTGGATAGATAATGAACCCTAAACCTGAAGTAGGATAAGCCTAGATCCCCCTGGTACGATAAATTCTTATTGCTTGCTTTCCCTATGCTACACCCAATCGCCGGTTATACTTGACCGTCGATTGGGACGTTGTAGTTAGAACGAGTCAGCTAGCATGCCATCTAGCCATAGAAGGTCTTACAACTACTAACACTAAGTACTACACTTACCAAAACAATGACTAGAACTCAAAATACAACTATTACAACTAGTTTAGTATAAAGCCGCGTATGAAAGCGCAATAACGTATGTTTTTACCCTTCAGATTCATAAACACTCATAAGTTTCATAGCATGTATTGTGCAAAAATATTAAAAAGTCAAAAGTGTTACAAACTATGAAAAGTGCACAAAAACACGTTTTTGCATATTTCTTTTCAAGGAAAATGGTTGATTATGCAGTCAAAACACTTCTTCATTTCACAGTCCACAATCGACAATGATGTTTTCCTTCAGAGATGATCGCTAGCTATTGTGCTGCCAGCCTGCCACGAAAGAAGAAATCGACGCTAGTAATTTGGTCACCTAATTATAGTATTCCTTGTGGGTCCCAAATAATTTTTTGATATTTTCCCTTGTCGCAGATGTAACAGTTAGATGTCTAAGTTTTGGTGGGCAGGCCAAGACAAGGAGAATGGCATCCACTGGATATCTTGGTGTGCTATCTGTTAGAGTAAGTTTGAAGGAGGGTTAGGTTTTCGGGATTTTAATCGTTTTAATTTTGCTTTGCTAGCTAAGCAGGGGTGGCGCATCCTCTGCAATCCATCCAGCTATCTAGCCCGGATCTATCAAGCTCGGTACCATCCTCATCGGCTATTTCTTGATGCTACAGCAGACTCCCGACCTTCGTGGGCATGGCAAGACATCTGGGAAGGGAGAGACCTGCTCCTCAGGGGCTTACGATGGCAGGTTGGAGATTGATCTCGGATCCAAACTATACAGGATAACTAGCTTCCTTCGTCTTCTCCTTCTTCCCCTGTGTTACAACCAGGTTTGAGTGGCTGCCCTCCTTTTGTCTCGGATCTCATTTTTCATGTTTCTAATTCTTGGAAGAAGGATCTATTAACCACTTTGTTTATTCAAGAGAGTGTGGACCTCATTTTGTCCACCCCCCCCCCCCCCTTCCTCTTTCTTACTCGACTGATCGTTTGGTATGACATTACTCTCCTTCCAGTATTTACACTATTAAGTCAAGATACCATCTTCTGTCTTCTGAGTTCAACCTTCGACATCCCCTAGTGGTTCTACCTTTTGACACTCGATTCTGGAAACTTCTTTGGAGCATTACCGTGCCGCCCAAACTGAAGTTCTTCTTTTGGAGAGCCGTCCGTGGATTTTTGTCTATGTAGAAGTGTTATTCACTAAAACTCTTGTTCCTAACACAATATGTCCTATTTGCTCCAGGGATCCAGAATCTTTTTTCCCACCTTTTCTTTACTTGCAGGATAGCTCGAGGACTTTGGAGATTGGCAAACCTTGAAGGCATGAGTACTATTTTTGGTGGAATG